CAAATCGGTTACTCCCCTTATCTCTCCCTCCCCTGAAGGAGATGCTCCAATAAGACCCGTCAGGGGGTCCTTTGTTTCTTACTATACTAGATTCGGGTCCAGCGACCGCAGTCACAACTACTTCTACATCAGCGTCGCCTAGTGATGTTGTGACTCCCAACCCACCCTCTACTCCGGGATCAAGTCCTACACCCAGTTACGATGGTGGACCAGGGTTCGCACCCTTAACTCTAGACCCAGACGGAAATTTGCCCGAACCCTCACCAAGCACCACAGAAATCTCAGCCACAACTCCTACCAACCCCACAACCGTGGATTATCCTGAAGATTCTTCGCAAACCCCTCAGCCAACGAGATCCGATCCAGAATCAAATCCCCCGGCCATCATCCCATTACTGCCCAACCGACCCAGCAATAGCTTCCCTGCTTCTAATTCACCGTCTAACGTTCTACCAATCGTAGCAGAATCGCCGACATCCACGCAGCCCCAGTTTCTTGTGTCTACGGTTACAGTAACGGCCATTAAGACCGTCTACCCCACATCTCCGCCTGATAGCCCTATTCCCACCCCTACTGCGCATGCGCAGGCACAGGGGAAAGCAAAAGCTCAAACAGCACCCACGGCCATTTCCCCATCGTCTGGGTTTATAGTATCGATTCGACCCTCTGCACCCTCACCTCCTCCCTCGCCATCGCCTCAGGCAGCGGAGCTTCCACCACGAGAATCGCCCGAACCAGACTGTGTCTCCGATCACGACAACGGCTCCTTCCCCCCTCCTACTCCAACACCGGCGTTGGAATCTGCTCCCCCTCCCCCTTCCACTCCTCCTTCACAGCCATCTCCTTCCGGCCCCAGCAAAAGGGCTTTTCGGACTTTGAGTTCCCGCTTTCGAAAGAACTTGGCTGTGATTCGTGCGGGTGGTCGGGTGGTATGATGGGATATTTTTTTTCCCTGTCGATGGTTGAGTGGCTGATATGGTGGGTGGAGAGTTCTCCTATCGTTTTCCTTTGCGGAATCCGTTATATCTACGATGTACTGTACACTTTTTTATTTTCATTTTTATTCTCATTTATTTATTTTCTCCTTTGGCATTTAACGTTCTTGCATTTATTTTACCTTCTTTATTTGTTTATCCATCCATGTGCAATTGTAAGGTTTTCCATTCCTTTCAACATTTCGCTCCTTCTTTATTTCTCGCTCTCTCGCCTTTTTTTGTATTTTCCTCTGCCGGCCACGAAGAAAACATTGAGACGAAAAAATGTATTGCTATTATTATATATAGGAAAGGAACGTACCTCGAATTATCAACGGTATTGGCTGTTGTCAGTGCCTTGGGGCGGCGAGAATTGATCGTCTAGATATGCTGTAATGAATCTTTGGGGGGGAGGGGGGTTGGGTGTTTATTGTTATTTATTTTCATTGGTGCGAGCTGCATTGCATTTGCTTGTTAAAGTTATCTTCTCCTGTTTTTGCTATATTTTCATCTTTTTTTCATCTCTTTTACATCGTATTTGATTTTAAGTTACTACGTTCTCCTATGTCAATCTCTCTCTCTCTCTCTCTCTCTCTCTTTTTTGTTTTCTTTTCGTATTTTCGTTTATTGTGAGTTGTTTGTGTTGAGTGATTTGCTTTTTGCTTTTCCCTGCTGGCCTTGTTTCTCTTTGATCTGTGATCGAATAATAGGGGCCTTTTATGATAAGACTGCCAGATATTTTCTTTTTCTATAACCACACTTTCCTCCCCTCTACCCTACATAGTTTGTGTAAATATACATGTGTTTCCTCGTCGAGGATATTTCTTTGTTGGGCTTTTGGATTGACACAGCGTAAAAAAAGGAGGTTAGATAGAGAGGGCGTATTTGATCTTCGAACGTTACTCCCTTCAATAAACCACCAATTTACCGCCTTTGACTCGGATGTATGAACGGCACGAATTTTGGCCAGTCGCCATTATGGGCCGATACGATCCCAACAGCAAGCGGCATGACTGAAACGCGCTTCAGACGACAGTGGCTTAGTTCCAAATTGCCGATCTCTCTCTTCAGGCATACGCTGTAATGGCTCACTCTGGGCAACCTTCGAATGCTGTTGGTCACCAGAATGTCAGTATTTTTACGCCGGAGCACATCTGCAAGCAAAATTCCAAGTTAGGAGGTTGATTCTGGCATACGGGGACATTATCTCTGCATTTGCGATGGCTGATTTCTTCACTTCAGTGGCGTTGGACCAAGAAAGCTTGTCTGATGCTTTGCAGCAAAAGTCAAGGCCAGAATAGAATGGTCAAAGCGAACCTTCACCATTCGACTCTTCGAGGCCTTCGACAAAAGCGCCAATCCCAGAAAGAAAGATAAAAAAAAACAAATGTTATTGATTGTGAGTTAAAAAAAAAAAAAAAAAAAAACAGGGACAAGCCACTTAAAAGCACACACGGTCTGGGGTTGTGCAGAGCGACAGAAACTCCAGCTTTCGCAACATTGAAACCGCGCCCAAGTTCACAGTTAATGCACGCTGGTGTCCTTGCTCCCCGTCTACCCAAGAGCAACATTGCTTGTTAATGTCAAGTAGTTATCAAGCTGTCGTCATGAGCTACCCGCGCAAACGCACGTTGCTTGCATGCGACTTTTGTCGCCAAAGGTTAATATAATAATTAACAGTCATTGCAACTGAGAAAGATTCGCCTCATAATCTACGCTCCGTTTTCCGCGCAATACAGGCTGCAGGAAACTGACATTTTTCCTTGTTAGAAAGCGTCGCTGCGATGGCTCGAAGCCTGTCTGTGGCAATTGCTCCGAGGCAGAAGCAGAGTGCCGGTACCAGGAGCTTCCGATTCAGTCGTAAGCCGCATGAGATACTGCGAATATAACAACTAACATAAAACTCGATTCTTCCTGCGGATAGTACTATGACTGACAGTGTTTTCCACAGTCTAGAATCTCCAGCGATCCCCTCAGCAATATCAAGAAGGCTTGACAGTATAGAATCACTCCTCAAGTCCCATTCAGAAGCAATTGCTGCGATTTCTCAGCAGCAGCAGGTTTTGGACGCTCTATGCTCCCCCCATGAGATCCTAGATGCGCAGGCAGTGCCAACAGATGCAATAATTATCGAACCGCCAATCCCCGATCCATCTCGCGTCGACAGGCTCAATTTGACATCTCCACTTAGCAATACACACTCTTCTCCATCGTCGATTGCGGGTATCAGTCCTGAATTTAATACTGCTCAGGTTGATGGAAGTGGCAACTTATTTGCCCCCTTCACAGGCCCGCCCAAACACCAGACGTCACCAGTAAATAGTCTACTTAAATTACCAGTCATCAGGTCCCTAGTGGGAGAACTCCCCGAAGATCATTTCTTTTCAATCGAGTCTCGACACGTTCCTCCGGCGCCTGGCACCTGGATATTCTCCCAGGCGGAGCTTCCAGCTATCGAGCAAGAGGTCACAGACCGGTTGGTAGAGACTTTCTTCTCCGACATCCATCCGTGCCATCCAATTCTAGACCGTGATGCATTTTTCGCAATGTATGAAAATGTCATGTCGGACGGGCTGGGGTTGGGTTTGCAGTCGGCATTTTGTCTTGTCGTTTTTGCGCTGGGGGCTGTGGCATCAGAGGCCGCAGCGGTTGATCCGCAAGAGCAATACTGGGAGCCGGCCCTGAAATACCTCCAACCCGCTTTAAAAATTCTTATGGCTGAGTCTGCCTTTTCATTTGGGACCGACTTGCGGTTCGTTCAGGCGTTGATATTCGGCGGGATTTGTTTTGCATACATGGCAAAGCCGTTGCATAGCTGGAAGCTCATTCACATGGCTTCTACGGATGTGCAGCTGCTGCTGTCGAGGTGAGTGGTGGAGTTAAGTATTTTGTATATGTTTATTCCTATCTGAGTTCTGAGAGCGTCATGGATGAACTCCCTTTGCGTGCGCTAATTTCCCCATGAACTTGCAGGAGTGAAAGTGCCGCCATTGGTGAATCGTACAAGGAGCGGATACTAGAGGCATGCTGGAGTTGTTTTCTTCTAGAATGGTTTGTTTCCGCCGCACCTTCACACATGTCCCAACCCCAGTCCCAGGCCAAATCAGAGGGTTAAAAAAAAAAAAAAAAAAAAAAAAAAAAAAAAAAAAGCAAAGAATACAAAGATACAAGCCTAATTGTGGCAACTAATCTATCAATTAGTGATTATCTTACCGAGCTTAAGCTTCCACCAAGTGGAATCGAAACGCTGGTCGATGACATGGCACTTCCTAAAGCTGGCAATCCCAGCGATCGAGAGGGGCTAAGTTATCTGGCAGAGATATCCATGAGAAGCCTCCTGAACCGAGTGCTGAGTTCTCTCCCCAACGAGTTCGAAAGCGGCCAGTTAAGTGAGGAGTCTGAAGTAACCGGGGCTATCACGGTCGCGTCAGAGCTTGATCAGCAGCTCTTACTGTGGTACGATTCCGTCCCGGAAATGATCAAACCAACGCTGGGTGTGGGGCCGACTGCCGACGGCCGCGAGAGGACTCTGAGGATCCGCTACTACCAAGCAAGATACATCATCCATCGCCAATTCGTGGTGTATTGCGCTTCACTGCCGGAAGACAGAGAACCATCCCCGAAAGTCCTGGAGGAGGCGCAGGTGTGTATCGAGAGTTGCAGGCTCTATTTGCAGAATACTGGCGAGATTTTGAAAAAGCCGTCACAGTATACCTGGACACTGGCACAGTCGTAAGTCTGGAATTTTGACTTCTAGGATAAGATTATGTTATAAAACTATGTAACTATGAGCTTGCTCATCTAACAAAACATACAGGTCACTTGACGCCGCCCTGGTCTTGACTACTGCCTCACTTTCACGGCATTTAAAAAATCTAGTTCCAGATATCCTTCCGCTGCAGCAGTTGCTCATTGATAACATTGCAAGATGGGCGGCGCCGGAATCTAGCTTTGAGTCCATCTTATGCATTCTTGGTGATATAGTCGGGAAGCAGCAGTTCCATTGAGATCTTGGCCTGTGAGGAGCGGAGAGGACCGTACCGCTCTTTTGTGCCTTTGATTGACTGTTTATTTTTCTGTGATGGATAATAGTATGTATGGATATATCTGCCTTTTGCACTAGGAGGAAACACAGCCGGGCGCCCTCACTGTAAATTTTGAAAGAAGAAGAAGAAGAAAGTAAGGAAACTGTTACCAGGTGCATACATCTGAGCGGTTCGACATCAGTTTCACCCTCGCGCGATTTCTGCGCAGAGCAAGAGGGATATCATGATCTCCTAGTACATACACACATGCATACATGCGGCCGTTAGTCCTCCAACCAACATACCGTTATATTTTCTTTTTTGCAGTTGAGGAAAGCCACATGGAAGGTTGCCGGATGCGGCCAACTGGCGCTGCCCCGGGCTGCGATGGAATCTGGGGATATAACTTAACGAAGCAAGCAAGCAAGAGATCGAATGAATACTAGTAGTATATATGGCGTTGCAATTTTTTTTTTTTTTTTTTTTTTTTTTTTTTTTTTTTTTAACTTTTCTGCTGTTTTTTAATCTTCTCCTTTCTACGGAATATGCTTTCTTCAAATCCTCTCGCATGATGTTTTCTTGCAAGGGTATCAAGGATCGTTTTTATGCAAGCCTTGGCGCATTGTCGCTGGTTTGTTTGCTTGCTTGGCTTGATTTCCCATAGCTATCAATTCCATATATATCGATCAATATGTATTCCTTTTCTTTTTCCCTTCCCTTGTATGTGCAGTGCCTAAATTGTGGCAATTGCCTCGGATGGTAATTCCAGGTACTACTATTCACACGGTCCCAAATCATCCAATAAATGCAAGAGATATTAGAGATGATCCCATGGATGGTGTTCCCAGTAGATCTGAGAATATTTAACAGATCTTTGATTTGTTTAGTTAGTAATACTTTTATTTATTCATTTAAATCAAAGACAAATATAGCTGATATTCAACTGTAATAAGTGAACAAAAATACATTCTCTGAGACACTGGTCACAACGGACTTCTTTCATACAAACAAGCCTATATATATATATATATATATATATATCAACGGCCAACCTTTTGAACTCTCTTCACTGTGGGCCGTTTGGCTTCACAGTGAGACCGCCAAAGCCGGCTAGCCCTGAGCAGAAGTAGCTGGTACCTTCTTCCCGCCGCCCAAATCCCACATGGTCGCAAGTCACAGTGTCCTTTCCCC